CTGTTGCGAGAATTTCTCAGAATGTGCTTATCCGCGCTGAATAAGCGCCCCACGGGAGGTCAAGGTTTTTAAACACGCTGTGAATGCATATATATTGCACATTAATTTTATAAATTAAAAAAACATAAGCATTTTTTTATAAAATTTAATTTTTCTTTTTAGAAAGCTTACCGAGTTATAGAAAAAAGTAACGATTTCATTCGACATTTCCGTTACAAATATTTGTACTTTTTCCCCAAAAAAGTAACGAAAGTACAAGTAAAAGTATTAAATTTTAAAAGTAACGAAGTACAAGTAAAAGTACGTACTTTTTACTTGTACCGGCGGTACAAGTAACGAAAGTAAAAGTACTGCCATATATGGTCATGAGTAACAGTTACAAACTCACAGCAGCTATAAAAATAGCATATTATTCGCAAAAATGCATCAATCATATTAACGAAGCCTTCGAAAAACAGCCTTTAAAGAAACACTCCGTGTTCCAAAAGCCACATTTTTCAAATTGTTCATAAGTGATCATTAATTTTTAAGATACCTCATGTGTATAGTATCAGCTGAATTATTCTGAACGTCATAAAATGAATAAAATATATATAAAAAGGGTTTTGTATACATTAGAAACTAATTTTACAGAAACTATTCCAGTCACGAAGACTTACAATTCAGAATTTTTTTTTTTTATATATTTATAAATAACAAACATTAGAATGAGTAATACCAACTGAAAAGTAAATGATAAATATAATGGTAGTAAATTTACACTAAAAAAGAACTTTCTCGTCTGGTTTTTCCAGACAGAATAAATTTTTATTCAGATCCTTAGAATTTTTTTTTTTTTTTTAATTCTGAAAGTTGCAACTAGTTTGATGCTTTAAAGTTAGGCGGGGGGGGGGGACTATTCAAACTAATATTGCCTGCTTTATGCATTAGTTTTTAAAGTTAAAATTATTATCGGGACAATTTTTTTCATTAAGTTTATAAGTTAAGTTATTGAAATAAGTTTTACCGAATAAGGATATTTAATCTGACACCGAGCTTTAAATAATGGAATAAACGTTATTTTAACTTTAGAACTACGCACCTTAGTTTAAGGTAAATACTTATTAAATAAAACTAAACTGATATTTCGTAATTTTTCAACTCTTTCATAAATATGAATGATTTTGTTTAATTTTTAACATTTCTTACTTGGGGAAAAATGGTTTTTATGGTGTATTTCTTTGTATTTTGGTCATGAAACACTATCCACTTTACTCAACTTAGGAAATATTTATACGCCATAAAAATGTGAAGACGGTTACTTCAATCAAATTTCTTACGCTTCTCATTATTTTACTTTGTCTTTACCCCCCCCCCAACAAAGGTAAGTTAGATAAATTAAATAACCATTATTAACTATTATTTTCTAAAAACTTTCGATAATATATTTATAATTTCAAAGTTTCGTAATCTTATGATGAAATTTCTGAATGAATCAATTACACTTATTTAACAGCATTCAAAGAATAATTTTCGGAAAATTTTAGAATTAAAAATATATATTTGATTACCTGTTGACATTTTTTATTTTAAGAATATTTCTTTTTTTTTCTGCATACTGTTAGAAAATATAGTTATAAATGAATCGATTCAGTTATAATAAATAAAATAATGCTAACAAATATTACAAATTAAATACTTGATGAAAGAGTAAAATAAACAGATATTTAATTTAGACTTAGTAATTATCAAAATGAATGGGAAATTAATCCCTGTACTACATATAAGGTGTGTTCAATTGATCAACCATAATGTATGTTTATTTTTAAAAAATGGTATCATAACCTACTTTGAAGACACCCGCTAGATAGAACTTTTGGTTACTATAAGAATTCATATTTCTTAAATCCATGCTAGATGAATGAATGTTCATTCTCGTCGCATAAGTATAATTATTACTCTCATGCTCTGTTACAGAAACTACTTAATAACTATAAAATATGATGCTAATGCTTTAAAACTATCAGTTCATTCCAAATTAAACACTTTAAAATATAAATCACAATTATATGCTTCAAACTATTTCTTTAATGTAAATTCTCAGTGCTATGTTATAACATTCAAACTCTTATTTAAAGACTATAATTCAATACTACTAATCATTACTCAGAAATGTAAAATTTTTAACTAATTAAATCAGTGGTCCCCAACCTTTTTGTACCCAAGAGCAAATACCAGAATATCGGTCGAATGGTGGGCACCATTTATTTTTTCAAGATAAATTTACAGTTGGTAGACATAGTATTAATATTCTTGTGTAAATAAATGATTACTAAATTGCTTTCAAAACATACGAAGTATAAAAATTATTAATAATATACAGTCAATGTGGTGTTTGGTATGGCATTTCGATGGCCAGGGCTACATAATTGGGAGAATATGATGCTCTTTTTAAGAATGGAATTTATTCCTTTAACTATATTCCAGAATTTCTCATAAGATAAAATAGTTTTGAGGATAATGTCATTCTGAAGATCCACAATTTCTATCTCCAATTCTTATCGCTTTATTTGAAGAAATTCTGAAATGTATGTTGCTATTACGGTTATGTTAATTTGGTTGGTAAAAGGATTAACAAAAAAGTTATCATAAGGCCCGATGATATTAAATTGTTGAAAGCGCTTTTTAAATTGTTCTTTAAGCTAGGGGTGCACAACCTTTNCGGTTATGTTAATTTGGTTGGTAAAAGGATTAACAAAAAAGTTATCATAAGGCCCGATGATATTAAATTGTTGAAAGCGCTTTTTAAATTGTTCTTTAAGCAATTGGAGGCTGATGACAATTGCTAATAAGTCAATTTCACTGTCACCTATCATTTTTTTCATGTTTGGAAAATGCGCAAGAGACTTCATTTTCAAATGTGATATCCACAAAACTAGCTTAGCTCTGAACGAGTTTAAAGCCTCTATCATTTTTGCTTCATGTTTATCCTTCCCCTGCAGCTCCAAGTTCAAATTATTTAGTTTTTCCATTACGTCCGTTATGAATGACAAATCTGCTAGCCAAAGAGGATCTCTTGGTTCTAAAAAATGTTTGATTTTTGGCTGCAAGATAATTTTTTATTTCTCCAATTAAATGCAGAAATCTATCAAGTACTTTGCCTTTACTGAGTCAGCCAACTTCAGTATGTATTTGCATAGCATTTATTGGAAAACGGAAATATTTATCGTTAGGCAGGCACAAGTAGCGGGGGCACCTAGATCGATCGAGGGGAGCCATGGTGCCCGCGGGCATAGGGTTGGCGACCCCTGAATTAAATATTTGACTAAATTTATCTTATTTTTCAGACTGTATTTTAGGTTTCAAATAAATTGTCAAATTTAGATGTAATCATATTATGAGAGACTTTGAATTAGTAGGTCAGTACTCAATAGATTTTAAAATTGGCTAAATATTATTGATCATTCTAGTGAGAAATATGTATCTCGGTAGCCTAAGTGTTACATACAAGTTATTTTATGTATCTAAACAAATTGACTTAAAAATGGGTTTTTTACCACTTGTCGTTTTTCAAAAGAAAACACATTTAGTAATAAAATTACAACAATCACTTTAATAAAAGCAATTGTACAACATGTGTTAGAAAAGATTTATTAAATAAAAGATGTTACAAATAATTTTAATAAAAGTTGCTAGAAATATTTTTATTTTTTTTTCATTGAAAAAAACATATTAACTTGAACTAAGGATTCTAATGATAAGAAAATGAATCACAATTTACATCTTAGTCAAACATAACTGGTTGTAAATAAAGTAATATAATCAGGGGGTAAATTGAAACCAATATGAACATGAAAGTAGATATTTATTATTTAAAAAACTATTTCATTACATTTTATCAAAAATATGGTGTGTCAGTAGAATAAAACATACTGTATTTAATCAGATGACATTTTTGAGAAAAACTCTTATTCATTATACTACAATAAAAAGGTTTCTCACCAGTAAAAACACAAACAGTATAGTTAGCTTTTGAAAAATTAAAAACTCTTTTTATTTTAAACATATTAAAAGAATAAGATTTTGGACCAGTATGAATAAAACAACAATAAATTAGATGGACCTTAAGTGAAAAAAAAAAAAGAACTTTTAACAGGGTGCGTAGCCAAATAATTCAACAAAAAATAAGCACTTTTCAAGCAGTCAAAAAATATTTTTAAGCACTTTAAAAAAATTTCATAATTAGGCAGGATTGGAAAGTTTTTGACAATTGACGGTTTTATATTGTTTTAACCGACATGTCAAAAAAAAACCTTTTGGCCTTGTTTTTGTCAATTGTCAAAAATCATGAAATTTCGAATCACGTAAAACGAATTTCAAACGCTACGCCTGATAATACGCCGGAATAGATTGGGATTGAATTAATTGTGAAAACGTTGAACAAAACAATGTGAACCGTGTCTTTTTGTATGATTCGTAGCGAAAATCAACATGGTAAAGGAAAAATCTCATTTTGAAAAAGGAAAAATTAAGCACTTTTTAAAAACACCCTTTGAGAAAGGGAAAATTAAGCACTTTTTAAAAACACCCATTGAAAAAAGCACCTTTAAGGGCTTTTAAAAAACGAAAATAAGCACCTTTAAGCACTTTTTCAAAACACTATGCACCCTGTTTAACAAGCAAATGGCTTTTAAATAGCCTGAACATGACTGTGATTAGTTAGATAGTTCTTTCTTGAAAAAGCCTTATTACATGAGTAAAGTTTCGTACCACTATGAAGACGACTTTGTTCAGTGAAACTACCTCTTAATGAAAAACTTTTGTTACATACACTACAAGAATAAGGCATCTCACCAATACGAGCACCGCCTATGAACTGTAAGATTACTTTTTGTGAGAAACTCTTATAATATGTAATACATGAATAAGGTTTCTCACCAGTATGCACACAACAGTGTTTATTCAGAGTCACTCAATGTAAAAAACTCTTATTACATATACTACATGAATAAGACTTCTCTTTAATATGAACGCTACCGCATGTAGTGAGATGACTTTTTCATGAAATTTTTTTATTACACATACTTAAAGGATAAGGCTTCTCACCAGTATGAACAAGACTGTGTTTTGTCAAACTACATTTTAGTGAAAATTTTTTATTACATACACTACAAGAATTAGGCTTCTCACCAGTATGAACACGACTGTGTTCTGTCAGACAACTTTTTCGTGAAAAACTCTTATTACATATACTACAAGAATAAGGCTTCTCACCAGTATGAACAAGACTGTGTTTATTCAGACTCCCTCTTTCTGAAAAACTCTTATTACATATACTACAAGAATAAGGCTTCGCACCAGTATGAACAAGACGGTGTTTATTCAAAGTCCCTCTTTCTGAAAATTTCTTATTACATATACTACAAGAATAAGGTTTCTCACCAGTATGAACACGACTGTGTATTGTCAGACTACCTTTTTGTGAAAAACTCTTATTACATATGCTACAAGAATAAGGCTTCTCACCAGTATGAACAAGACTGTGTATTGTCAGACTACCTTTTCGTGAAAAACTCTTATTACATATGCTACAAGAATAAGGCTTCACACCAGTATGAACAAGACTGTGTATTTTCAGACTATCTTTATGTGAAAATTTTTTATTACATATACTACAAGAATAAGGTTTCTCCCCAGTATGAACACGACAGTGTTGATTCAGAGTACCTTTCCTTGAAAAACTCTTATTACATATACTACAAGAATAAGGTTTCTCCCCAGTATGAACACGAGAGTGTTGATTCAGAGTACCTTCCATTGAAAAACTCTTATTACATATACCACAAGAATAAGGTTTCTCCCCAGTATGAACACGAGAGTGTAAATTCAGATTCCTTTTCTCTGAAAAACTCTTCTTACATATATTACAAGAATAAAGCTTCTCACCAGTATGAAAATGACTGTGTTTTGTCAGATTACCTTTTCGAGAAAAACTCTTATTACATATACTACAAGAATAAGGCTTCTTACCAGTATGAATAAGACTGTGTTTATTCAGACTCCCTCTTTCTGAAAAACTCTTATTACATATACTACAACAATAAGGCTTCTCACCAGTATGAGAACGACTGTGTCTTGTCAGATTACCTTCTTGAGAAAAACTTTTATTACATATAGTACAAGAATAAGGCTTCGCACCAGTATGAATATGACCATGTATAGTGAGATATCTTTTTAGTAAAAATTTTTTATTACATATAGTACAAGAATAAGGTTTCTTACCAGTATGAACAAGACTGTGTTTTGTCAGACTACATTTTAGTGAAAATTTTTTATTACACATACTACAAGAATAAGGTTTCTCACCAGTATGAACACGACTGTGTTCTGTCAGACTACGTTTTTGTGAAAAACTCTTATTACATATATTACAAGAATAAGGCTTCACACCAGTATGAACAAGACTGTGTATTTTCAGACTATCTTTATGTGAAAAATTTTTATTACATATACTACAAGAATAAGGTTTCTCCCCAGTATGAACACGACAGTGTCGATTCAGAGTACCTTTCATTGAAAAACTCTTATTACATACACTACAAGAATAAGGTTTCTTCCCAGTATGAACACGATTGTGTATTTTCAAACTACCTTTTTGTGAAAAACTTTTATTACATATACCACAAGAATAAGGTTTCTCCCCAGTATGAACACGAGAGTGTAAATTCAGATTCCTTTTCTCTGAAAAACTCTTCTTACATATATTACAAGAATAAAGCTTCTCACCAGTATGAAAATGACTGTGTTTTGTCAGATTACCTTTTCGAGAAAAACTCTTATTACATATACTACAAGAATAAGGCTTCTCACCAGTATGAACAAGACAGTGTTTATTCAGACTCCCTCTTTCTGAAAAACTCTTATTACATATACTACAAGAAAAAGGCTTCTCACCAGTATGGAAACGACTGTGTCTTGTCAGATTACCTTCTTGAGAATCACTTTTATTACATATAGTACAAGAATATGGCTTCGCACCAGTATGAATACGACCGTGTATAGTGAGATTTCTTTTTCGTAAAAATTTTTTATTACATATACTACAAGAATAAGGTTTCTTACCAGTATGAACAAGACTGTGTTTTGTCAGACTACATTTTAGTGAAAAATTTTTATTACATATACTACAAGAATAAGGTTTCTCACCAGTATGAACACGACTGTGTCCTGTCAGACTACGTTTTTGCAAAAAACTCTTATTACATATATTACAAGAATAAGGCTTCACACCAGAATGAACAAGACTGTGTATTTTCAGACTATCTTTATGTGAAAAATTTTTATTACATATACTACAAGAATAAGGTTTCTCCCCAGTATGAACACGACAGTGTCGATTCAGAGTACCTTTCATTGAAAAACTCTTATTACATACACTACAAGAATAAGGTTTCTTCCCAGTATGAACACGATTGTGTATTTTCAAACTACCTTTTTGTGAAAAACTTTTATCACATATACCACAAGAATAAGGTTTCTCCCCAGTATGAACACGAGAGTGTAAATTCAGATTCTTTTTCTCCGAAAAACTCTTCTTACATATATTACAAGAATAAGGCTTCTCACCAGTATGAAAACGACTGTGTTTTGTCAGACTACCTTTTTGAGAAAAACTCTTATTACATATACTACAAGAATAAGGCTTCTTACCAGTATGAACAAGACTGTGTGTAGTGAGATGATTTTTTTGTGAATATTTTTTATTACATATACTACAAGAATAAGGCTTCTCACCAGTATGAACACGCCTATGTATAGTCAGATTTCTTTTTTGTGAAAACTTTTTATTACATATAGTACAAGAATGAGGTTTCTCACCAGTATGAGCATGACTATATTTAGTCATATTACTTTCTGAAAGCTCTTATTACATATACTAAATGAAAAAGGCTTCTCACCAGTATGAACACTTGTAAAAAAACTCTTATTTTATATGCTACAGGAATAAGTTTTTTTACCAGTATGAATTTTAGTATTTACTCATACTTTTTTCTGAAAAACTATTGTTAGAATAACAAGAATAAGGTTTACTTACAGGATGATACCTATTCAGAATTAAATTAGGCCTTTAATAACATATGATACAAAAAAGAGCATGCTGTATCAAGTCACTAACTTTGACTAAATTTTTACTTAAGTAACATATAATACTGTGGAAATATGATCACCTTACAGCAGGCACATGATTTATTAATAGACACCTTTGTGATATTAATTAAATTACCAAGATACTAAATTATTACTATATAGATACTAAATTATTACCATGATACTATTAAACTAAATTATTTCACTTTATGTTTTTTTATCACAAACAGCAGAATAATATACAATTTCATGTATTAGATTCAATTAACCAAAAACATAATATTTAAGAAAAGAAAAAGATATATGCATGCACAATATGAATTTTATTTACTGTCAGCAAGAAGATATTTTATCACTCACATCGATTTTTTTTCTGCATATAGGAGATAATATTTGAATTAGATCTGCATGGAAATAACCTTTGTTAAGCGCTTTCTATATTGTTTCCGTTACTATGCTGGTAATTCACTTCACATTTGTGAGATTATGGATATGCAGGCTTATAAATTTAATCCAAATAGGAGCAAATCAAAAACAATTTTTTTACGCTTTTCTTTCCACAAATAGGGTTTATTAAAGTCGTCTTCGGTATAAGTAAGAAAGTATGCTTTTATATAGTTTCTCAGCAAGGAATTTTTCAACAAATAAGTACAGATTTGAGCGTTGGCTACGTTATCGGTTGCCTACTTCAACACACCTGATGTCCAGAATCTTGGGACAGTTTTTAAAAAGTAGAGTAAGTTACTACAGAATATCAACCTCTCCTTTTCTTAAGAGAGCATTCATACTGCATTGTAGAAAACAGCATATGCAATTCTAAAGATGCTATTAAGAAAATGATTGGGAAATTTCTTGCGAGTATAGTATTTCACTAACGAAGTCGCGCTGGCATCTCAGAATTCACCCACATGAGTTTTAAACACGCACTATTTTTGTGTCGATCAGAAACATTATCACAGTTCACATTTAACACACCCCTGATTGCTATCGAGGAAGAATGAGTCTAATTTGATGATCCTCTTCTCTCGACGTGATTGAAAGTGCGTTGATTACAAACACTCCGTAAATTAGAGCATATTTTTAAACAAAATAGAATTTTCTATATATTTATAGGTAATATATAATATTTTAAGACATCCCATATGAAGAGCCTTAAAATCGTTACGCTTTTCTTGATGATGGTAACAGACGGGCATTTTTGGAGCTCTGTCTTGGTTGCGCTTATAACTCGCTAATTGTATAAAGGGAGATGCTTTTCTTGAAGCAGTAGAGTTAATTTAATATCCTTGGCAACAGTTTCCGTTGTCGCCAAATATTGTGCCAACTTATTCGACGTAGTCGTAAAAGTTGTTCTCAATTGGGCACGTTCCAATATTCGCACCGGTGTAACCGGTTACACTGGTTTGCCGCACCGACCGTTCCAATATTAAAACCAGTTACACCAGTGCACTGCACCGATCGTTCCAATATTCAAACCAGTGTCACCAGTTACGCACGAAGTGCACCAGGTTTCTGGTCGGTTTGGTCAGTTCGCATGACGTCATTACCCTTATTTGTTTACAAACTTTATTATACTGCTGTTGAGATCGTCATAATTTTGCTGTATTTTTGAATGGATTTTAATATAAATTTGTTATAAAAACTTGTTTTATCATTGAAAATAAATTTTCTTGTNTTATTTTAAATAATTTTTAAAAATTATTTTATTTTAAGAGTAAAAACATATAAATTAATTATAAAAGCTTATATACGTTATTTTTATCGAAAATTTAAGGTAACAATACTTTTCGCGCTTTTTGAGAGGCGAATCTTCTATCACATCATCAAAATCAATTTCCTGTGAGACATACATTTTGCTTTGCAGTCAAAATCTGTTTGACTTAGAAACATCAAATTATGAAGGTGTGTAGAAAATATGTAAAGAGTTAGAAAAAATACAGTTTGATTATTAGTTTTTTTTTTTATAATCGCCGCTGAAAGACTGACTCAATTTTGAGCCAATGTTTAACTACCAAGCCTTGAAATTTTAAAACCAATCCAGAAGACAAGAGAACTCCAGGATCAAGTAGTGAAAGTAGTAGTTTTGTCTTTGTGGAGGACGTTTTGATGGAACTAGCCTGCAATTGAGTTACATGGAGAGGAAAACCACGAAATCCTCCCACGGTTAGTCTAATACCAAGGGAACTCTAATCCATGATCCGCCTACCACTGAGGATATTTCACGTCAGCACTGTGGTCGGTAAAAGTCGGGTTTAGAATTCATATCTATCAGCCATCACTGGGATTCGAACTCGGTGCACCTCATTCGGAGGATGCTCTATCCCTCGAGTCCAACTTTATTGAGTAATAACTCTGCGACAGGTTCCAATTTTATTGATTTGCTAAAATTTAATCATCTTCAAAATGTAAATGGTAATTCAATCGTAATTTTTGTAGAGAAAAAAGGAAATAAACCGTTTTTCCTCTTAACCTGCAATGAATGCAGAAGCAACCACGAGGGTTAAGTGAGCAAAATGAACAGGCAGCGGAGCCTTCCAGTTCTTTAAATAATTGTTAAATTATTAGCTATTAACCTGCGTACTTAAAAAAATAAGAAAAACATTTCTCAGTATTAGGAAATAATAATTAAAAACTGTCATCAGATGGAATAGAACCCACGATCTCACAGTTATGTGTTAGATTTCATAATCATCAGCCCCAAATATACACACCTGCCTTGCGGATATTTTTTAAACTTAATAAATTAAGTCATTTGGTTACTTGACCATAATTCGGCTTATCTTATTCATTTTCAGCTTATGTATATGCACCAAAAATAAATTCAAAACTAGACTAGATATAACACAAGGACTGCTAATTTAACTGTCGGATATAAACCTTATTTAAGATTGAAAATCATAAAACTATGAAAAATCTACATTCCTCGAATTAAATATTTTAAAAATAGTCTGTTTTTGGGTTATAATATTCCTAATTACCTTAATAAACATTAATCGTAATGTCGGGGTTCCACCGATGGAAGACATTTAATATATCAATGGAACACACTAAAGCTTTATAGCAATTAGTTTTACAATTACAATTATAGAATAATTATTATAAGATTATTATAGAATGAATATAGAATTAATATTTATAATAGAATGAAAGGTTTTAAAAGACAAATATTTGTTAATGTTTAATCTAACGAATAGCTCGTGATAAATTTCGTGACAAAAAAAAGAAGAAAATTGAAGACTGATTGATTTCCGGATTTTAGAAACACCTTCTAGTTTTAATATTCAATCAAATTGGTTTCGATGTCTTTCGTCCCACATGTGATTCAGCATATTTTGATATCAATTTTGTTTCGTTCTTATTTAATATTAATTTGTTTGCGACAATTATTTTTTTACTACTTTTTTGCGTATTAATTGTTTTTTGAATTGACAATTTCAATCATCTTTTAGGTATTTAAAACTGCAGCATATCACATGAAAGTATTAAGTACATATATAATTTTTACAATAAAGTAAAATAAAAAAGAATTCTGATCCTTAGGAACAAATATTAAAAAGTCTCATGATCGAATGATGGAGCATAATTACCTTTTAAACAAATCAAAATTTTTTTTACCTTTTAAACTAAAAATTTGCTCATTTTTAAATAATTTATTAATACTCAAATTATCTAAAAGATGATATGACAACGAAGTTTTTTATTTTATTCAGTCATTTATTTATATTTTTTCCATTTTTTTATTTATTTTAATTTCATTAAATTAAATGCTCATCACGTTTAAAATAAAAACAAAGCTGTCAAAATTTCATATATAGTTTCGATTTATAATTTTAAGAAATTGTTTCGACTTTGATTAGGAAATTTAAAAGCCTTATTAATAAAAAAATTGAGAAGCCTTATTAACTTTAAACACATAATAACAACAAAAAGGAGTTAAAAATAGAAACAAATATGATCAATAAACAATAAAATCATAAGCTAACTAAATAAATTAATTTCGTGTACGAAATATATTACAAATAAAACATATTTCATATTTAGGGGAAACATGGAAAATTTGGTCATACACGAGTTTTAAACAATTTTTCTTCTCATGTTTAAACATTTTTTTAGCTGATGATCATTTGATTTCAATGCTCTATTAAACAAAATCATATGTTGTTTCTGTCTATTAGCAGTAAGTAAAATTAAAATAAAATTACATTTGTTGTATCAATTTTATCCAGAACAGACAAAATTAAGAGTTTTGGCAAACAGGCCAGTCAAAGAGGGAATTGAATAGTGGCCCGCCATTTAAATAAATAAACAAAAAAATCTCAATGTATATAGAAAAAACAGCGCAAACCTTTCACGTTTTCCCTAAAATCAAATTGATTTAACAGAAACATTTGCTTACCTCCAACGTGAAAGATTTATGTCTTCTTAATATCCTACGAAAATTTGATATAGAAATTCCTATTTCATTCTCTTACGATTGATTTAAAAAATAACAAAATTAAATTAACCACAATAATTAAATAAATTAAACAATTAGGCTAGTGGAATCATTTAGGATGATTACAGGGGAAAAAAAGCTTTTATAATAAATTAGAAAAAATANTTACGATTGATTTAAAAAATAACAAAATTAAATCAACCACAATAACTAAATAAATTAAACAATTAGGCTAGTTGAAACATTTAGGATGATTAAAGGAAAAAAAAACTTTTATAATACTTTGTTGTTGTTGTTAATTTACGTCGCACTAGAGCTGCACAATGGGCTATTGGCGACGGTCTGGGAGACATCCCGGAGGATGATCCGAAGACATGCCATCACAATTTTGATCCTCTGCGGAGGGGATGGCACCCCCGCTTCGGTAGCCCGACTACCTGCGCGAGAAGTCGAGCACTTTACGGTAGCACAGTTTAACAAGGACCAATACCGCACACCCTCGGTCCCTACGCAGACTGATCCAACTGGTCACCCATCCGCACGCTGACCGTAGCCAGTGATGCTTGACTTTGGTTATCTGTTGAGAACCGTGTCTTAACGATCAGTCCACTGCGGGACTATAACAATAATAAAACATATTTCATATTTAAAAAAACATATTCCATCCGTTATGAAAGACAAATCTTCTAAAGCCAAAGAGGATCTCTTAGTTCTAAAAATGTCTGATTTTTGGCTGCAAGATAATTTTTTATTTCTCCAATTAAATGTAGAAATCTATCAAGTACTTTGCCTTTACTAAGCCAGCGTACTTCAGTATGTATTTGCATAGCATTTATTGGAAAACGGAAATACTTCATCCTTAGGCAAAAGTAGGGGGAGCACCTAGATCGATTGAGGGGAGCCATGGTGCCCGCGGACAAAGGGCTGGGGATCCCTGGATTAAATCTTTGACTAAATTTATTTTATTTTTCAGACCGGATATTAGGTTTCAAATAAAATTGCATTTAACAGATGTTTTGAAGTTAGTCAAATTTGATGTAATCATATTATGAGAGACCTTGAATTAGTAGGTCAGTACTCAATAGATTTTAAAATTTGTTAAATATTATTGATCATTTTTGTGAGAAATATCTATCCCGGTAGCCTAAGTGTTACATACAAGTTATTTTATGTATCTAAACAAATTGAATTAAAAAATTTTTTTTTTTACCACTTGTCGTTTTTTAAAAGAAAAAGCATTTAGTAATAAAACTACAACAGCTACTTTTATTAAAGCAATTGTACAACATGTGTTAGAAAAGATTTATTAAATAAAAGATGCTACAAATAATTTTAATAAAAGTTGCAAGAAATCTTTTCTTTTCATTGAAAAAACATATTAACTTGAACTCAGGATTCAAATGATAAGAAAATAAATCACATTTTATATCTTAGTCAAACTTAACTGGTTGTAAATAAAGTAATATAATCCAGTAATTAAGGGGTAAATTGAAAACAATATGAACATGAATGCAAACATTTAGATCCTTGTTATTTAAAAAAAAAACTAATTTATTACAGACTTCAAAAATATGGTGTGTCAATAGAATAAACAATACTGTATTTAATCAGATGACATTTTTGAGAAAAACTCTTATTCATTATACTACAATAAAAAGGTTTCTCACCAGCAAAATCACCAAACAGTAAAGTTAGCTTGTGAAAAATTAAAAACTCTTTTTTTTTAAAACATATGAAAAAAATAAGATTTTTCACCAGTGTGAATAAAACAACAATAAATTAGATGGACCTTAAGTGAAAAAAAAAACTTTTAACAAGCATATGGTTTTTAAATAGCGTGAACACGACTGACTAGTTAGATAGTTCTTTCTTGAAAAAGCTTTATTACGTACATAACATGAGTGAAGTTTCTTACCACTAAGAAGAGGACTTTGTTCAGTTAAACTACCTCTTAATGAAAAACTCTTGTTACATACACTACAAGAATAAGGCTTCTTACCAGTATGAGCACCGCCTGTGAACTGTAAGATTACTTTTTGTGAGATACTCTTATAATATGTAATACATGAATAAGGTTTCTCACCAGTATGCACACAACAGTGTCTATTCAGAGTCACTCAATGTAAAAAACTCTTATTACATATACTACAAGAATAAGACTTTTCTTTAATATGAACACTACCGCATTTAGTGAGATGACTTTTTCCAGAAATTTAAGGATAAGGCTTCTCACCAATATGAACACGACTGTGTTCTGTCAGACTACCTTTTTGTGAAAAGCTCTCATCACATATACTACAAGAATAAGGCTTCTCACCAGTATGAACAAGACTGTGTTTATTCAGATTCCCTTTTTCTAAAAAACTCTTATTACATATATTACAAGAAAAAGGTTTCTCACCAGTATGAACAAAACAGTGTTTATTCAAAGTCCCTCTTTCCGAAAAACTCTTATTACATATACAACAAGAATAAGGTTTCTCACCAGTATGAACACGACTGTGTATTTTCACACTACCTTTTTGTGAAAAACTCTTATTACATATGCTACAAGAATAAGGCTTCTCACCAGTATGAACAAGACTGTGTATTTTCAGTCTATCTTTAAGTGAAAAACTTTTATTACATACACTACAAGAATAAGGTTTCTCCCCAGTATGAACACGACTGTGTATTTCTAAACTACCTTTTAATGAAAAACTTTTATTACATATGCCACAAGAATAAGGTTTCAACCCAGTATGAACATGAGAGTGTAAATTCAGATTCCCTTTCTCTGAAAAACTCTTGTTACATAAATTACAAGAATAAGGCTTCTCACCATGATGAAAACGACTGTGTTTTGTCAGATTACCGTTTTGAGAAAAACTCTTATTACATATACTACAAGAATAAGGCTTCTTACCAGTATGAACAAGACTGTGTTTATTCAGAGTCCCTCTTTCTGAGAAACTCTTATTACATATACTACAAGAATAAGGCTTCTCACCAGTATGGAAACGACTGTGTCTTGTCAGATTACCTTCTTGAGAAAACCTTTTATTACATATAGTACAAGAATAAGGCTTCGCACCAGTATGAATATGACCGTGTAGAGTGAGATTTCTTTTTCGTGAAAATTTTTTATTACATATAGTACAAGAATAAGGTTTCTCACCAGTATGAACACGACTGTGTTCTGTCAGACTACGTTTTTGTGAAAAACTCTTATTACATATATTACAAGAATAAGGCTTCACACCAGTATGAACAAGACTGTGTTTTTTAAGACTATCTTTATGTGAAAAATTTTTATTACATATACTACAAGAATAAGGTTCCTCCCCAGGTTGAACACGACAGTGTTGATTCAGAGTACCTTTCATTGAAAAACTCTTATTACATACACTACAAGAATAAGGTTTCTCCCCAGTATGAACACGGCAGTGTTGATTCAGAGTCCCTCTCCTTGAAAAACTCTTATTACATATATTACAAGAATAAGGCTTCTCACCATTATGAACACGACCATGTGTAGTGAGATGTTTTTTCTGTGAAATTTTTTTATCACATGTACTGCAAGAATAAGATTTCTTCCCAGTATGAACAAGACAGTGTTGTTTCAGAGTTATTCTCATCGAAAAACTCGTATTAGATATACTACAAGAATAAGGCTTCTCACCAGTATGAACACGACTGTGTATAGTGAGATTTCATTTTTGTGTGAAACTTTTTATTACATATAGTACAAGAATAAGGTTTCTCACCAGTACGAATATGAATGTGTTTGATCAGACTACTTTTTAGTGAAAAAATTTCATTACATGTACTACAAGAATAAGGCTTCTTACCAGTATGAACAGGATTGTGTCTAGTGAGATTAAATTTTTGCGAAAAACTCTTATTACATAAATTACAAGAATGAGGTTTCTCACCAGTATGAACATTTGTAAAAAACTCTTATTTTATATGCTACAGGAATAAGTTTTTTTACCAAAATGAATTTTAGTATTTACTCATACTTTTTCCTGAAAAACCATTTTCAGAATAAAAAGAATAAGGTTTACTTACAGGATGATACCTATTTTGAATTAAATTAGGCTTTTAATAACATATGATACAAAAAAGAGCATGCTGTATCAAGTCACTAACTTTGACCAAATTTTTACTTAAGTAACATATAATACTGTGGAAATATGATCACCTTACAGCAGGCACATGATTTATTAATAGACGCATTTGTGAATTTAAATTAAATTACCAAGATACTAAATTATTACTATATAGATACTAAATTATTAGCATGATATTATTAAACTAAATTATTTCACCTTGTTTTTTTATCACAGGAAACAGCAGAATAATGTACAATTTCATGTATTAGATTCAATTAACCAAAAACATAATCTTTAAAAAAAGAAAAAGATATATGCATGCACAATATGAATTTTAGTTACTGTCAGCAAGAAGATATTTTATCACTCATATCAATTTTTTTTCTGTATATAGAAGATAATATTTGAATTAGATCTGCATGGAAATAACCTTTGTTAAGCGCTCTCTATATTGCTTCCGTTACTATGCTGGTAATTCACTTCACATTTATTTAAGATTATGGATATGCAGGCTAATAAATTTAATCCATGTAGGGGCAAATCAAAAACAATATATGATTTTCTTTACACAAATAGGGTTTATTAAAGTCGTCTTCGGTATAAGTAAGAAAGTATGTTTTAATATAGTTTCTCAGCAAAGATTTTTTCAACAATTAAGCACAGATTTGAGCGTTGGTTACGTTATCGGTTGCCTACTTCAACACACCTGATGTCCAGAATCTTAGGACAGTTTATAGAAAGTAGAGTAAGCTATTATAGAATATCAACCTCTCATTTTCTTAAGAGAGCATTCATACTGCATTGTAGAAAACCGCATATGCAATTCTAAAGATGCTATTGAGAATATGATTGGGAAATCTTTTGCGAGTATAGTATTTCACTAACGAAGTCGCGTTTCCATCTCCAAATTCACACACATGAGTTTTAAGCACGCACTATTTTTGTGTCGTTCAGGAACATTATCACAGTTCACATTTAACACACCCCTGATTGCGATCGAGGAAGAATGAGAGCCTAAATTGATGATCCTTTTCTCTCGACGATGATTGAAAGTGCATTGATCACATTCTGAGTCAACACTCCGTAAATTAGAACATATTTTTAAACAAAATAGAATTTTCTATATATTTATAGGTAATATAGAATATTTTAAGATATCCATCTTCCATATAAAGAGCCTTAAAATCGTTACGCTTTTCTTGATGATGATTACTGACGGGCATTTTTGGAGCTCAGTCTTGGTTGCGCTTACAGCTCGCTGATTGTATAAAAGGAGATGGTTTTCTTGATTGGTTGTGAATTTACGTCGCAGTAGAGCAGCACAATGGGCTATTGGCGACGGTCTGGGAAACATCCCGGAGGATGATCCGAAGACATGCCATCACAATTTTGATCCTCTCTGGAGGGGATGGCACCCCCGCTTCGGGAAACCGACGACCTGCGCGAGAGGTCGAGCACTTTACGGTAGCTCAGTTTAACGAGGACTATTACCGCACACCCTCGGTCCCTACGCAGGCTGATCAAAGTGGTCACCCACCCACACACTGACCGCAGCCGGAGATGCTTGACTTCGGTGATCTGCTGGGAACCGTGTCTTAACGATCAGTCCACTGCGGGACGACGGTTTTCTTGAAGCAGTAGAGTTAACTTGCGCACTGTCCTGAATGCCAGCCGTTTTATAACCCTAAACTTTGGCAATCAGCCGAAATGGGTGATTGCCAAACGAAATCTATCGCCAAGAGCTTGGATGCCAGATTTTTTTTGAGCGTGGTGAAAATGGCGAATACGTTATATAGCTCCAATAATGTACACAATCTTTTTATGAACTAATAAGTAAATTCCTATCGTTTAAAATCTAGTTCACCAGCCCCAGTGTGACTTTATGTCTAACGTGGAAGCGATGAAATTGCACGTTATGACCATAATTTGTAGGAAAAGAAATCGCACTGTCTTGAATGCCAGCCGTTTTATAAACCTAAACTTTGGCGATCAGCTGAAATGGGTGATCATGCAATTTAACTTCATCGACGGAAATATTTTATGGTTGGGCACACCTAGATCGATCGAGGGGGGTCATGGTGCCCACGGGTATAGGGTTGGGGACCCCAGAATTAAATCTTTGACTAAATTAATTTCATTTTTGAGACTGGATTTTAGGTTTCAAATAAAATTGCATTTAACAGATATTTTGAAGTTAGTCAAATTTAGATGTAATCATATTATGAGAGACTTTGAATCAGTAAGTCAGTACTCAATAGATTTTAAAATTGGTTAAATATTATTGATCATTTCTGTGAGAAATATGTATCCCGGTAGCCTAAGTGCTACATACAAGTTATTTTATGTATCTAAACAAATTGACTTAAAAATGGTTTTTTTTTACCACTTGTCGTTTTTTTAAAAGAAAAAAAAACATTTAGTAATAAAATTACAACAGCTACTTTTATAAAAGCAATTGTACAACGTGTGTTAGAAAAGATTTATTAAATAAAAGATGTTACAAATGATTTTAATAAATTGCTAGAAGTCTTTTTTTTTTCATTGAAAAAAACATATTAACTTGAACTCAGGATTCTAATGATAAGAAAATAAATCACAATTTATAACTTAATCAAACATAACTGGTTGTAAATAAAGTAATATAATCCAGTAATCAAGGGGTAAATTGAAAACAATATGAACATGAATGCAAACATTTAGATCCCTATTATTAAAAATACTATTTTACTACACACAATATGGTGTGTCAATAGAATAAACAATACTGTATTTAATCAGATGACATTTTTGAGAAAAACTCTTATTCATTATACTACAATAAAAAGGTTTCTCACCAGTAAAGTTAGCTTTAGAAAAATTAAAAATTCTTTTTTTTTTATAAACATATTAAATAAATAAGATTTTTCACCAGTATGAATAAAACAACAATAAATTCGATGGACCTTAAGTGAAAAAAAAGAAAACTTTTAACAAGCATACGGCTGTTAAATAGCGTGAACATGACTGTGACTAGTTAGATAGTTCTTTCTTGAAAAAGCCTTATTACATATACTACATGAATAAAGTTTCTTACCACTATGAAGACGACATTGTTCAGTCAAACTACCTCTTAATGAAAAACTTTTATTACATACACTACAAGAATAAGGCTTCTCACCAGTATGAGCACCGCCTGTGATCTGTAACATTACTTTTTGTGAGAAACTCTTATAATATGTAATACATGAATAAGGTTTCTCACCAGTATGCACACAACAGTGTTTATTCAAAGTCAATCAATGTAAAACACTCTTACTACATATACTACAAGAATAAGACTTCTCTTTAGTAAGAACACTACTGCGTGTAGTTTTAGTAAATTTTTATAATAACATAAACTTTAGTAAAATAAATGTAGTAAATTTTTTATTACACAAACTTTAAGGATATGGCTTCTCATCAGTATGAACAAAACTGTGTTTTGTCAAACTACATTTTAGTAAAAAATTTTCATTACATACACTACAAGAATAAGGCTTCTCACCAGTATGAACAAGACTGTGTTTATTCAGATTCCCTCTTTCTGAAAAACTCTTATTACATATACTACAAGAATAAGGCTTGTCACCAGTATGAACAAGACTGTGTTTATTCAGAGTTCCTCTTTCTGAAAATCTCTTATTACATATACTACAAGAATAAGGTTTCTCACCAGTATGAACACGACTGTGCTTATTCAGAGTCGATCTTTCTGAAAAACTCTTATTACATATACTACAAGAATAAGGCTTCTCACCAGTATGAATAAGACTGTGTTTATTCAAAGTCCCTCTTTCCGAAAAACTTTTATTACATATACTACAAGAATAAGGTTTCTCCCCAGTATGAACACGACTGTGTATTCTCAGACCACCTTTTTGTGAAAAACTCTTATTACATATGCTACAAGAATAAGGCTTCTTACCAGTATGAACAAGACTGTGTTTATTCAGACTCCCTCTTTCTGAAAAACTCTTATTACATATACTACAAGAATAAGGCTTCTCACCAGTATGAACACGGGAGTGCTGACTCAGATTACTTTCTTGAGAAAAACTTTTATTACATATAGCACAAGAATAAGGCTTCACACCAGTATGAACACGACAGTGTATAGTGAAATTTCTTTTTCGCGAAAATGTTTTATTACATATAGTACAAGAATAAGGTTTCTCACCAGTATGAACAAGACTGTGTTTCGTCAGACTACATTTTAGGGAAAATTTTTTAATACATATACTACAAGAATAAGGTTTCTCACCCGTATGAACACGACTGTGTTCTGTCAGCCTATGTTTTTGTGAAAAACTTTTATTACATATATTACAAGAATAAGGCTTCTCACCAGTATGAACAAAACTGTGTATTTTCAGTTTATCTTGATGTGAAAAACTTTTATTACATATACTACAAGAATAAGGTTTCTCCCCAGTATGAACACGGCAGTGTTGATTCAGATTACTTTCTTGAGAAAAACTTTTATTACATATAGTACAAGAATAAGGCTTCGCACCAGAATGAACACGACCGTGTATAGTGAGATTTCTTTTTCGTGAAAATGTTTTATTACATATAGTACAAGAATAAGGTTTCTCACCAGTATGAACAAGGCTGTGTTTCATCAGTCTACAATTTAGTGAAAATTTTTTATTACATATACTACAAGAATAAGGTTTCTCACCAGTATGACCACGACTGTGTTCAGTCAGACTACGTTTTTGTGAAAAACTCTTATTACATATATTACAAGAATAAGGCTTCTCGCCAGTATGAACAAGACTGTGTATTTTCAGTCTATCTTTATATGAAAAACTTTTATTACATATACTACAAGAATAAGGTTTCTCCCCAGTATGAACACGATAGTGTTGATTCAGAGTACCTTTCATTGAAAAACTCTTATTACATATAGTACAAGAATAAGGTTTCTCCCCAGTATGAACAAGGCTGTGTTTCATCAGTCTACAATTTAGTGAAAATTTTTTATTACATATACTACAAGAATAAGGTTTCTCACTAGTATGACCACGACTGTGTTCTGTCAGACCACGTTTGTGTGAAGAACTCTTATTACATACACTACAAGAATAAGGTTTCTCCCCAGTATGAAGACGACAGTGATGTTTCAGAGTCTTCCTCGTTGAAAAACTCTTAGTAGATTTACTACAAGAATTAGGCTTCTCACCAGTATGAACACGATTGTGTATAGTGAGATTTCTTTTTCTTGAAAACTTTTTATTACATATAGTACAAGAATAAGGTTTCTCACCAGTATGAACATGAATGTGTTTGATCAGACTACTTTTTAGTGAAAAAATTTCGTTACATATACTACAAGAAGAAGGCTTCTCACCAGTATGAACACTTGCGAAAAACCCTTATTTTATTTACTACAAGAATAAGATTTTTCACCAGTATGAATTTTAGTATTTGCTCAGACTTTTTCCTGAAAAACTCTTGTTAGAATAAAGTTGACTTACAGGATGACACCTATTCTGATTTAAATTATGCCTTTAATAACAAATGATACAAAAAAGAACATGCTGTATCAAGTCACTTACTTTGACTAAATTTTTACTTAAGTAAAATAGAATATTTTGGAAATATGATCACCTTACAGCAGGCACATGATTTATTAATAGACGCATATGAGAATTTAAATTATATTGCCAAGATACTAAATTATTACTATACTTAATTATTACTATATAGATACTAAATTATTACTATGATACTATTAAACTAATTTATCTCACTTTTTTGTTTTTTTTTTATCACAAAAAAAAGCAGATAATGCACAATTTCATGTATTCGATTCAATTAACCAAAAATACATAATCTTTATAAAAAGAAAAAGATATATGCACGCACAATATGAATTTTATTTTCTGTCAGCAAGAAAATATTTTATCACTCATATCGATTTTTTTACCGTATGTAGAAGATAATATTTGAATTAGATCTGCATGGAAATAAACTTTATAAAGCGCTTTCTATGTTGTTTCTGTTACTATGATGGTAATTCACTTCACATTCGTAAGATTATGGATATGCAGGCATATAAATTTAATCCAAGTAGGGGCAAATCAAAAACAATTTTTTTATGCTTTTTCTTTACGCAAATAGGGTTTATTAAAGTCGTCTTCGGTATAAGTAAGAAAGTATGTTTTAATATAGTTTCTCAGCAAAGAATTTTTTAACAATTAAGTACAGATTTGAGCGTTGGTTACCTACTTCAACACACCTGATGTCCAGAATCTAGGGACAGTTTTTGAAAAGTAGAGTAAGTTACTACAGAATATCAACTTCTCCTTTTCTTAAGAGAGCATTCATACTGCATTTTAGAAAACCGCATATGCAATTCTGAAGATGCCATTGAGAAAATGATTGGGAAATTTTTTTGAAGTATAGTATTTCACTAACGAAGTCACGTTTGCATCTCAGAATTCACACACATGAGTTTTAAGCCAGCACTATTTTTGTGTCGTTCAGAAACATTATCACAGTTCACATTTAACACACCCCTGATTGCTTATTGAGGAAGCATGAGAGCTTAAATTGATGATCCTCTTCTCTCGTCGATGATTGAAAGTCCGTTGATCACATTCTGTGTCAACACTCCGTAAATTGGAATGCATTTGTAAACAAAATAGAATTTTCTAAATACTTATAGGTAATATAGAATATTTGAAGAAATCTATCTTCCATTTGAAGAGCCTTATTGATCGGGCATTTTTGAAGCTCTGTCTTGGTTGCGCTTATAGCTCGCTACTTGTATAAAAGGAGACGCTTGGCTGACCGACTTTGTAATAAATAGAGGCATTTGATTGGTCAATTATACCACGTTTTCATCTTTATTGGTTAATTGTCATGTTGTATTTACTGAAGCAGTGTGTAAACTGAGTTCAGCGAGAATGGCTTTTTAAATGTGCATTCCTTTAGATCCGTTTGTAACTGTAACACTAATAACTTTGGTTTGCAGGCGTAAATCAATCTTAAGAAGAGCAAAATCAGCAGCCAAAAGCGTTCTAAGTCAACTTCCTTTGCCTGGATTGATGGTTAATCAATGATCTTTTTAATCATGTTTTGATGACCAATGCTGGTTTCTTATCTCTGAATCTGTATTTGTGCCACAGTTCAAATATTTAGAAAAAATTTTGATGTACTTGTAATTTCTTCTTATTTTATGCTTATATTATCACATTCTTCCGCTCTTTTTTATTATTAATTTCTCTTCGAAAATTTCAGAGAATATACTTAAAAAATGAGTGAGCGACCAGTCGATTCGGAAGCAACTAATGTGTTCCAAGTAAATGCATATCCAACTATATTTTTTAGTTATGTATAAAATATTTGTTCCTAATGTTATTTTCATTAAAAATATAGTTATTTAGAATTTAAATAAAAGCTTTGTCAATGTTCTTATTTGTTTGTACAGGGAAACCTGTCTGAGTGAAACCTAGCGATGCAATTAGACAGGTGGTGAAATTGTTAAGGGTGAAAAGTCATTGTCTTTTTGCTCATTTCTTAGAATCACGTTATTCTTAGTGTTATAAAATATTAATATACTATTCATAAAAACTCAACCTCTGAACTTAAGGAAATATTTGGCTCTCATATAGACAGCATTAATTAATATACTTTTTAAGCAAGAATATAAATAATTCTTTTTAACAGGACTTGTAAATTTTAGTTAGCAAGGAACTTCTTATATCTTGAAAAAATTATGGTATACAAAAGTGGGTATAGAGTGTTTTCATCTTGGAAAAAAAATTGGTGAGAATTTCTCACCCTTTCTCAAAAACATGGTAAGATTTCAAAAAGTTAAGTGAGATTTCTAAAAATTAAAAAAAAAAAAGGCACAATATGTCTTGAAAAAAAAGTCGCTTCTTTAATCATAATAAATTTTTAAGATCTTCTAATTTTTAAAGCATTGAATATTTTTCCTGCATCATCATATGGAAAATGTTCTACATCTACTTTTTCATCAGCTATTCTCATTTGGTTGCTCAGATGCATATTTGTTTCGTTTTGATCGTTTCTACCCATAGGGTGACCCGGGGTAATTCACGATCACTCTGTTTCTGGGGTAAATAATGATCACCTAGTGTGGGCCTACTGTTGAGAT